CACAAATTCGCCTGTTAGTAAGAGACCTCCCCCCTGCTAAATAATTAGGGATAATAAGTGGCTCATAATAAATGCAACCCACAACAACATGCTCCGAGAGCACAGTGCAGAATCAGGAGAGCTATTAGGGAACCCCCAGGTCTATTTGTGCTTTTGAAGAAAACAATGCAATATTTTTAATTGTCTCTCTTGAAACCCTGAGCCAGCTCTGCTGGTTTGTTAAAAGTAAAATTATCCCACTTTCTGACTGCCTCTTGTGTCCAGAGAATGCTTACTACAGAGTCATCAACACAGATAAAAGCAACTGTCTTGCTTGCACTGACTAGGTACATAAAAAGAGCTGAGACAAGAGGTAACACAGGTGGGTTACATATAACCATACTCCTCAGGCCTTTTAAAACTCTGGGTAAGGCTCAAAAGATTCAGTTTCAACACAAGTCAAAAGCAGTGCATGCACAGCTTGGAGCATCCATCCACACGCATGGACCAACATGAAGTACATTCAGTACTGAAGACTCATGTCACCCTCTCAGCACAGAAGGAGCAAGCTAGCAAAAGCTGAAGGTTAAGAGAAACCAGCCTTTGGTTTTCAGCCTGCAAAGGATAGCGAACCACAGGAGCAAGTTTCTATGGCAGCCTGCCAAGAGCAAGGTTTGGGATGAGCGAGGAGAGAACAGCAGAGCTCATGTGCATCTCTTCCAAACCCTGCAAAACAAACAAAAACCCAAACAACCCACACGGGTACACCTACGTTCTCTGTTTCTGTTGGTTTTCTTCCTCTTTTCTTCCTTTATCCCCTAGTTAATTACTCCTTCAACCTCACCAGCCAGGCAAGCAGGGACAGCGAAGAGGGTCAGGTAGGTGAAAACATCACCACTTCAAATTCCCTTCCAAGGACTAAGGATAAAAGGAATTTCCTCCCGCCACCCCCATCCTTTAGACAAGCCTTTGGATAGAGCTAGATGACAGAACATAGTGTGGGGAAAAAAACTTCAACTCCTTGAGCTCAGTGGATCCTGCCAGGTCCGGGTGCTGGGGAGAAGCGCCTTGGCAGATGAGGTCATCTGCCTTCCCCTGGACAACAAGGCATTAGGAAGGGACAGCCAATGAAGAGCTGCTTTGGGAAAGAAAATGCTTGTCACCACACCAAAACGAAAAGCATACAAGCCTGAGTTTGTAGGGAGTAGAGATGGCAGGGGAAGACTATAGGAACTGATCCTGTGACGGCCATTTCCTAGCTGCTAAGTCAGCGCAGCTACAAATTCTCTTTTCTAGTAACTTGAAGTATTGAACTACGGCCTCTTACTTTTCCCCCCCAAGGTGAAGACATATGCAACCCCCGTGTGCAATCAAGACCAGACAGGATTTGGAGAGAATTTTAAAGTTTCATTCTCTCAGCATGCAAAAACACAGATGTCATTTGTCTTGTTTTCCACACTGGGGAGTGCACTAGGGAAAAGAAATAGATTTAATCAAATGCAGCTGTATTTTGTTTACAACAGTATTTTCTGTCATTTACTTACTTTGCTCCATGAAGTGCATTTAGTTGTTTTCCTATGGCATTTCTCCCCAAGAGCTGAAGCTTCATTTGTTCCTGTGAAGACCCCTGGACTTCTGCAAACATTTTTTCCTGAAGCAGATTACTTATTTTTTAATGTGTAGTATTTCAGTTCCACTTCATCCACAAATATGTTTAACCAGCATTTGCAAGATTCTTTTATGCTATGTCCTGTTATCTCAGCACACCCGACTTTAAGTTGCATACAGAATAAATACTGGGCTTTTGTTCTGAGCAGGGGAGATAGCTGTGTAATGATCAATCAAAAAAAGCCCTTGGGGATAGGACAGATTAGCACTTTGATACTACTGAAGATGAATGGGTAAAATGAGTTTGATAAGCTGGTGTTTTCCTCAGATAATTGCTCTGAAAGCTTTCTAAAGCTGCTTGGATCTTCCCCCCTTTCCTTTTGCTTCTGGATAGGATAGCAAGTCCTGCTTTTCTATCAGCAATACTGGACAGGCTGCTGCTGTTACTGTTTTTAAACAAACAGCAGTGGATTTATGCCACATTTCATCACTGACTGTTGAACACTAAAATACTAGTCATAATTTAACTAGAGATTCAGACTGGATTCCTATTATTCTTGGCCAACTTGACTAGTCCTCCCAGCACATATGTCACTGAGCACAGCCTGGTTGAGAAGGGACTGAGAGGGTGGGAAGGGGATTTCTCGTGGGATATGGACATCCTTCCTCAAGCTTAAATCTTTAACAGCTCCTCTTCCTTCAGAAGTCACTAATCCTTGGTGCTCACAAACAGACCTTCACCCCCTGTCAACCTTTCTCTGGGCTTTCTATACCCAACACTGACCTCCTCTTCCTCCTCCTGGATCGTTCTCATGCAGTTACCCCATAGGATCATCTGAAGAGGAAATTCTCCTGAAGCTGTAACACAAAACTCTTGTCAAGCTCACCTAGACCCCAGGTACATCCCTCTACAGGCATGAGGCAAATCCTGCTGGCATTCACAGACGTGGTACCATTTACCGTGCTAACTTATTCTCAGCCACTAATGAAACTGGAGCCAAGAGATTTTACTACATTTTTATTGTTTCATTGAATAAATGAATTTTAAATACAGAATTAAAAATTTATTTTAAAAGTTATTAAAAGCTAGCATTCAGAAGTAGGTTGCACATCAGTACTGAAAAAATTCATACTTTTTGGTACAAAGATAGGAAAGAAAAATAAAAAAGCATATCCATCATCTGGAAAGAGGTTTTGTTTTTTTGTTTGTTTTTTTTTTTTTTTTTTTTACATTTCCTTTCATATTTAGAACTGATATCTGCCTCATGAGAACCTCCCACCAACCTTGTTTTTCACAGCACTGATTCACATTGTTTGGTGTTCAGAAAAAAACCACTCATTTGTTGTTTACAGAAGCAGCGATGTAGTGTTTTCCCCTCGTACATATGGAAGCCAGTATGTTTAATAAAATATCCAGCATATGACGGGTGCAAAAAATGCAGCATTATGGGATTTGCAGGGATGCAATTTAACTTACAGATGATCCTTTGAGCTTACACTGATATCGTTATGTGTTAGGTATTACTTAGAGTATCGCATCTCTAGCATTTGCTCTTTGCTAAGCTCCATCACTGCAACAAAGATTTCCAGAAGTGATGAGGGAATAGGTACCATCGATTTTTAATGCCCAATTTTAAAGCAGCTTGATTTTCAAGAGACACAGATCACCCATCCTCAAGGACAAGAATCAGGCCCTTTTAGGCACAATGTAAACCCTGTAAAACAGAGGCACCTCAAGAAGTCTTGACATTAGGGTTCTGGGTTAGGGTTGGGAGATGGTTTTTTTTGCAAGTTTCTATTATGGGTTCTTAAAAAGACAGCTATGAAGATGATCCCACCAGTCAGTGCACCTGTATCATCTCAACCAAAAAAAGTAGACACTCTCTATTATACACATCATTTCAAGACATCAGCACCACTCACACAGTATCCACAACAGGTTAGAAACACAGACAGACCACAGAATGAAGTGCCCTTACAATAGAAACTAAGACTCTGAGATAATGAATAGGGATAGCTACACATCAGCCTGGGGGAAAAAAGCAGAGGAGGGACAGTTCAGACTGCAACGGAAACAAATTCATTTAACAACAGAAATAACACTGGAGATTGTCACTAGTGCAGCTAGGATTTAGCAAATGAAATACTTGGGAGTATACACTTGCAGGGCGGCCCTGCTTCTGCCACATGAATAAATATCCAACAGTGTTTAAAAACAGTATATAAAAAAAAAAAAGACATCAGGATTTTCAGAAACAGTGCTTGTTCCACCCCCTGTAACTACGTAGTAGGCTCCCTCACGTGAGGTATTTCAGCATCACCACAACAGAAAACAGTACTTCTGCACTCCTCTTCCACAAGCACAGTCCAATTTGAGCTGAGGTTGTATGACGATTATGCAGTGATGTGAGGTGCAAGCGTTCTGCTCTACCCTTGTCTCTCCCCAGACCACAGCGATCACGCTGGGCTGTGCAGGATGAAAATGTGCAGTCAGAGCAGTAAAGGCTCAATTCAGTACCCACTGTGTGACCAGACACAGGCACAGTCCCCTTATTTCAGACACTGCACATCTTAGGGGTTTTGTTTTGTTTTTAAACTGACACGTTCACACAGAGTCTTCCAAAAAAGAAGTTTAGTTCATGTGGCCAGGTCAGATTACTAATCTCAAATGAACTTCAGAATATTTCCTTGGTTATCCATTGATATATAGGTTGTCCAGCAAAATAAATGCATGTTTTACTCTCATCAATGGCAACCTGTACATTTGGTTTTGTATTACCAGGAGAGCTGTATGGGACAGGCATCTCTCCTATCACACTGTACATTTGAAAGGCTGCTGTCCATCCCATACTTTTTTCCAAGGAAAGTTATTTTCTTGTGTTGCATATATGTATTTAACTGTAGTCATTAAATACAGGATGTTGGCCTTCCATCCCATCTGGCCTTTTTGGAAGCATCCTTTTTTCATTCTTCGAAGAATGTAACAGTATCTTATTAGAGAAACCCATGATCGCAACTTCTTCTGGTGATGTGCAACGGTCAATAGTGGATCTCACCAAGGGATGTCACTAGTACCACTGCAGCATTTGACTGTCTCTCGTCCAAAATGTGGATGTGATCAAAAGAGAGAGCAAATCCAGAAGAAACAGATGTCTTCTACCAGATGTTTCTCCTCTTATGTTCCATCTTTGCTGCACAACCACTGTAGATTTGTTTGCAGGGTTTGTTTGGGGGGGATATTTTGTTTAAGAATAATCATACCCTCTGCAAATTCTGCTACATAATGATAATTGCTGCTTGTTATCAACACCCCCGTTAGCATGTAGGGTAGTGTACTCTCACAGCCAGCTGTCATGGAAGTAGTAAATAAAGCTGTTTTTCCTTCAAAGACACAAGCATTGTCCAGTCTGTGACTATACCAGGAACATCTCTACAGCTTTCCCACGCCTTCCAAACACTTCAGCCAAATGCTTCCTTTTGCTCATGCTTTCCTTAATACATGCGAGGATAAGATGGGTTTTGCTTAATTATCCACTCAGCATGCGGATTGATGTGGTACAAGTCTAAGAGGTAAGTGTCTGGGTCCAGACAATGTTCACCTGTCAAAACAAGAGATTCAGAAAAAAAGCATTTCTTATATCCTTAGTCCTATAATTGCTAGGTTGGGGGGTGTGTGTTGGTTTTTTTCCCCCTAAAAACTGACATTTGTTCACATTAATTTCAATATCACAACCATTCAAAAGTGTTTCCACAAATCTGGAAAAGTTCTAGTTATTTATGTTAAAATAAATATATGTTTCTTAAAACTATACTAAACCCAAGCTTTGATCTTTGCGGAAGGGTACTCTAACTTTAATACCCAATAACTTTAGCACTTGAAAACCGTAATGAAATATGTTAGCGATCAAATCCAGAGACTGAATTGTTTCCAATGACAAAGATTTTCTTCTACAGATGCTACTAAGAGAAATAATAAGAGGCAGCCAAAGCACTCCAGTAACCGACAGTCTCCAGAAGCAGCTGTAACAGGGCATAAGAATTCCTTTCCATTTTCAGACACCCCTAATCTGCTGCTGCAATCATATTATTTAAGTCTCCTCTCTATTTGATGACATTATCCTAATGATGAGTGGAAATCAGTGACTAATGAACATCATCAACTTGTTTAACTACATGATTTGAGAAACGTCCACCCAAGTTAGTATGGGTTCTTCTGTCAGAAAGTTCATGAAGGCAGACAGAATTCACACCTGGAGCTGGAGTCATTAATACAGATGCCATGTGCCAGCCTACTACACTTAAAGCCCAGATAAGAAGCACCCAATTAAAAGCCTAGTAGCATAGGATGAAGTTGCCTTTTACTTAAAACCATAAACTACATTCACCTTAAGTTCTACACTTAATTCCAAACACAAACCTTTATCGTTGAGGGGAGAGGGAGTTTAACACAGTATGTTTAACAGAACTGGAGGTTGGTTTGTTTTTAAGATGGACAAAGTTTTGCATGTCTCTGTCCTCAAGACTTCTGGACTCTTTTAGTTTCCACCTTCCTTGAAAGGCAGCTTCTGAATAAGATCCATTAGTACTTTTGGAAGTCCAGGCTTCAACCTTCCCACATACTTGCACTATAAAGGCTTTGCAGTGATGGCTGGAAGGCATGTGAACGATCAACACAAGAGCTTTGACAGGTGCTTTTTGTTGTAGGTGAGGTTAACCCACACTTGTTCATTTGCCTTCTAACTTTTGGAGCCCCCCTCCAAATCTCATCCTTTTTATAACTCCCTCCTAAGGCAAGTTAAGCATAAAAACTGGATACCGGAGTCCTTATTTTCAGTTGCCACCCAGACTTACCAATATTGCCTCCCACTTCATACAGGAGCAAGTTTGTGCACTCCATTGAGTTGTTACTGCAGAAAGAAAAACACACTGAAGTTAACAAAGCTCTGTGAAAGGCAGGTTAGGTAGTTTAGTAATGTTTCTTCCAGAAGAATTGCTTATGGTTCAGAGGCCACCAATGGTCAAGGAAGCAAGAGGCCATGGTACAGAGACCTTGCTGATCCTCCTGAACAGTGCAGCTGTTGAAAAGCACACCCCAAACTGGAAAAAAGAATACAAGGCAGATATTCCTCGCTGTTAGCGAGAAGTGCACTATAGGCAAACACTAACTTTTCAATAGGAAGACTACAGGCATAAATACCAAAGTTCACTGGCAGCATTCCTCTAGAGCTGATGGCCTGTTCAAGAGAAGCTCATCTGCAGGAAGACTTAGGCATCTGTAGTAGCTTGTTAGTGAGATACCAGCTGACCCATATTGAGCCAACTTCCCATCCACCCTCCTTGTTTAGGCATTTGCTGCCCAAGGACACAGTCAGGAGATGAACAAACACTTTACCTACTAAATACAGTCTGCAGGCATGGTGACAGAGCGGGGCAGGAATTCTTCTGTTCATTTTTTGGGTTATTTCAGCAATTCACCACTGGAGCGAGCATAGGAGGGAACCACAGAGCTTATTTTTGGAAATCCCTATATTAACATATGCATGCTGGAAATACTACTCCAGGCAAATAATTTGCACGGGTGATGTTTTTCTGCAGGAGAGCTAGAGAGGGTTTGTTTTGCAGGGTCAATGTTATTCCACTTTCCCTTCCATTCAGCAAGGCTTTGCACATACTGCTAAAGTTCGCTTGCTGTCCAGCAGCCCAGAGGGGACTACTGACCTCCCAACAGCCTGAGCACAGTGATGGAATCAGTTGAACTAACATTTGCTCGCCCCATCCAGCAAACTATTTCCAAAGCTTAGAATAGAAGAGCAGAGAACAGTCTCCTAACAGCTCACTGCCACCACAGCAGCTCTGCCAGAAGACAGAAACCAGCAACTAGACCACCTAGTACTTTTTTTTTTTTTTTTTTTTTTTTTAAGCAGAGAAAAAGCCATTTACCACTTGAGGAGGTTGACAGTGTTAACAATGTTCCAGCCGTTCTGGCACAGGTTCTTCTGAAATTGCCTCAAGACATCAGCAACTCTTGTTGCATTGTTCAAATGCACCTCTAGCGAATCCTTCAGGAGAAGCGAAGCATGGACCTTCACAATCTTGGAAGGCTGAACAAGGCAGGCAGAGGCAAAAAGAAGAAAGTGCTTAAAGACAGACTTTTATCAGCTAAAACATCAAGTTTCAAAATCGATCGGAGAGTGTGGAGAATTAAACCTATCCAGGCAGCTGTTCAGAGAATTTAGGTTTGTTTCTTATCCCACACATACTCCAGGCTGGAAGCTTATAGAAGTATCAAGGTGAGCATTATAAACAAATCATTAGTGCTTGCATTAGCACCGCTCTCCATCAGCATGCGCTGGTGCTCTCTGCTGTTCAAATACAGCACTGGCACCAGAAGCGACACAAGCTTTGATGAAAATAGGATTTACCAGAATAAATTTTGACAAACTGTTTTGCACAAGTCTGATAGGCTTCTCTGGAATTAATTTAAATGACTGAAAAAGTAGTTTAGACAACTGAATTGCAGAGTACTGAATTTCAGAAAGGTAGTTTCAAAAAAAAGGAAGCTCTGAGCCATCACAGAGCAGAGTTCAAGTGCTATTTTCTTAAGACTGTTTTCATCAACTCCCTCATGAAGTAACTTCTCAAGAACTTTTGTGGAGCACGTTGAACTGTTCTAATGGGGTCTGATCTGCAGCAAGCTAATTTTGCAATTCTGAGTCTTCTGCAAAAACAGTGCAGAACACCAAGACTGTTAGGAAATAGTGTTAGCACTGTTCTAAGCATCGGGTCATCTGTTTGCCTAAACAGTAGTTGTCCTCTCTGAAATGACAGCACCTTCAACAGTGACATGCCACTTTAACCAGCGAAATTTTAGGCAGACATCATTTCAGGAGCCCAGTTGGTATAGAAAGGAGGATGTACTGACTTGTGAGAACACAAACTCTTCTTCAGGTCTGCATATTCAAGCTCTCTACATATTATTTCTATCTGCAAACTCCACCTAGCTCGTGCCCTTAAAGCATCCCAGTTGCACCACCACTGCTATGCAATACTTAAAATCCAGCACTGCATGACGTAACCTAGCACCTGCAGACCCACGCTTATTCAACTAACAGTGGCAACCAAAAAAACAAATGTAGAATGACTCCAAGGATCTTTTCCCAACTTTGACACTCAAATAGATCTAGTAGCAACATCTGTTTAAAAATCTCAGTCCGCACCAACACAAGAAGGAGTAGAGCCATTTCATTTATCAGGGAACTTACTTCTCTCCTTTTAAGTAGCAAGAACCTCGTCCTCAAACCCTCCCATACAGATCAGCAGCATTATGGAGGAAAAAGAAAATCAGATGCAAAATGTATTTTTATACTGCTGTAATAGTATAAATTTTTGCTTTAAGTTCATGAAAATAAGTCTGCCTTTATCATGGGATATAAACACATGGGACACCTAGAGCCATATGAATTCTGCTCTTCATGCAAGGTAAAGACCAGCATTTCCACTCTTGGTCTCTTCCCCCCTCATCTGCAACCATGCAGCATCTTAACTAAGTGTTTTGTAGCCTGAAACTTATTTAGCAGTCTTATTGTTGGGATCAATTTTTGCCACAACCTGGCCAAAAGGGTTTGGGAAATGGTTTCTCATTGTTCTGCAGATTTTTCTCCCTCTTGCTCTGTAATGAGCATCACTCCTTACAGTTTTCCAAGTTTTTATGAAAGCATTTGACACTGTTATGAAAGGGCTCAGTTTTTCCAAGCCCTAACTCACCTCTGCCTGGTTCTTCTCCACCTTGTCTTTATCAGCATGAATCTTCCGCAACAAATTCTTAATTCGTTTGTCGCAGAACTGGTACCTTTTGCTATTGCTTTCATTCAGCTTTCTCACTTGAGCTACCAGAAAAGAGGACACCTGGGCAGCGGAGAAGGGAGGAAACAGGAATTAAAACAAATCAAGCAGAGATGAAGATGCCATTTAAGAACTTAAACATCACTTTATGAAGCTCCTTAAATAGACAAAATATCTATATACCTTGAAAACAAGTAGTCTTGAAATTCAGCCAAAGATTTTGCCTCCAGACATTTAACTCCTCTGAAATTTCCAAGATTATCCCTTCCCCTATTCCAATTCTAACCAGACCAAGACACTGCTACACCATACCGCAAAACACCTGGGCAACTTACTGTCCAGAGCAAATCCTGGTAATGGATCATCGTCCGCACAACATCAGCTGCCCCTTCTGCCAGCTGTTTCTCCTTCCCTTCAGGGATCTTGTTTGGCAGCCCCTTGTGCATGAAGAGGTTTGGGGCCATGACTGTGGAAACATTCCAGAGGTTCATTTTGTTGTTGTTCTCCCTGGCAACCACTTTGCTGAGAAACTCAAGTAGAGCCTAAAGAGAGGGGAAGAGACTTAGGACATCCATTGCTAATGCTCAAGAAACTACTGTGGCAATTGCTGGAGAGATCATTTAATTAGCTTTTTTTTTTTTTATATCCATGAGCTAATCCTATTTGTCCAGCCAGGAAGTTCAGTGAGCAATTTCTAATATCAGGATAGCACCAAATAACCATACCAGGCAGAGAGATGGTTTGTCCAGCATTCATGAATCAGGAGAGCTGTGGGAAGTAGATGAGCTCCTTGGCAGGTGGCAATTTACAAAGTCCAGTCATAGCAGTTACAGAATCCAGAGATGGCACCCCCCGCTTCCCCCAGTATCCACTCAAAGCTATTCCCAGATGTGGAAAAATAAACCCTTTTGGACCATCTCTTCTGCTTCATGCTTCCACCAAAGCCATGATGCACGACAGATCATCTTTGACTGGATTACGTATTCCAGCACCCTAAATAAAGTTTGCAGGGTGCTAAGTCAGCCTTGCCTTTATTACCTGGAAGCTGAATTACTCAGGAGGGGGAAAGAAAAAAACAAACAAACAAACAAAATGGCAGCAGCAACCACCACAGTTCTTATAAAGCACAGAAAGGCAGAAGTTGTGCACTGCCTGCAAAGCTGATCCCATCAGCATTTATTCTTTCAAAAAGTAGTAGGTAAAAGGATTTGAAATGCCTTTTTATCAGAAAAGGGTAGGAAGTTGTAAGCTTAGTAGTTGGGTTTTTGTTTGTTTGGGTTTTTTTTGTTTTTGTTTTTTTTTTAATTGAAACTGTCTTTCATAGATGACAACAATACCACAAACCATGAACCAAAAGACTGAATTTCTTTCCCAATACCTTAGCATGCCCACATACAATGTAAGACCCATACATCTTTCACTCCATAGTGAAGTGCTTTAACACACTGAAGAGGACGAGCATGTTTCTAAACAGGACGCTCCAGGACCACATGGATTCCTACTGCTCTTAAATTTGTACCCAAAAGGCAGACTGTGCTTACAGCTTACGTTCACTGCACAGCCTTGAGGTTTGCCTGCTTCCCCCATCATTGGTTTCCATTCTCAAGTCAGTGAAATAAAACCAAATAGCATGATGTGTATTATTTACAAAAGCTGATAGAGTTTCCTTGAATAAAAACCTGGAAGGAGATCGTTTTTCCAGTTAAATCCAGAACAGGTAGTTACCTTTAGAGTGTTTCTGTTGGGTTCTGGCAGAATCAGGATCAGGAGGTTTAGAGCTTGCAATCTTTGCTTCAGGTCTGGAATACCTAGAGAGGGAGAGCAACAACAGGACAGAGGATTCAGGCTCCTGACACCATTCTTTTTAAGCATGGGAATTCCCCAAGGAATAAGGCAATTACTTACTGTAGTGTTTGTCATCTAGGATTTGAGACCTTGTTTTACAGAAGTAAATCAAGCTCATACTGCCCTTATGAAGTGAACTACCTATGTTTCAGAAGACTGGCTGATTTGCTTCAGAATACACAGACTACCAGCAAGTCTGACGCCCTTCAAGGATATCAAAAGACCCCATTATTCCCCATTTCTTGAACAAAACCAGTTGTGCAATTAAAACAGTTAGCTTAACACATTCAAACCATCTGTTGAGTCACAAACCTCAAAATAAGGTGCTTGCAGAACACTGCGTTACCTGCAGACAAGCCAAGACCATGCACACTGGTCAGCTGCCACAACTCAGCCTACATGTCATTATTTATTGATTTGTCCTAATTCATGGTAGCAACCTCGCAGCCTCAAATGACACAACGTAACTTAAGATCCCAGGACAGCGTTCGTACACAAAGATGTATGCAACCACGCACCGGCGACGACGACTCTCAGGCTGATATGTAATAGTACACGTAGCACCCTGCACTCTGAGCTTGGGTACAGTTCATATCGTGCTCTGTACTCCCACCAAATCCACAGGCTCCCAACACACCTGACAGGAGAGCCCAAGACCAGTAGAGCTTTGCCAGAAAACCCGCAAACTGATGCTAAACAGCCAAAGCAGGGACTCACTCTGTACAGCAGCAAAAGCAGGGAGGTACTCTGCAGTCAGCAGCGGGGCCGGCAGCTCTCTGATGAACCTTTTCAGTAGCCCCGATACATCATTCTGGTGGACTTCATCCCAGCGGAAAAGGCCAGTATAGAAGTCCCTTTCTAGCTTCTGTTCCAGACTCTATTAAAAAGATGGAATTTATCACATGCTTTAATAAGCAACTACAAGGGAAATTTTGTAGCTGAGCACTAGGAGGGCAACCCATCAAGTCCAAAGAGTGCAGAGACCCTCACAGCAGACACTCCCAGATTTCCCAGCAACGGACATTTCTAGTTGTATTGGGAAGGGAGACGAGACAATTCCAGTTATTTAGATACTTGCTTCAGCAATATGCTTCCTGATCACCTCTGACACCTTTGAATGCTACTAAAGAGCTCCTACCTTGATTCTGGTCTGGGACCCAGAAACTCTCAAAATGCCCTCTGTTTCAAGTCCTCTCTTTTCCAAGCAGGACAGCAGCTATTAAAGGTGGGGGAAAAGAAAGCTTTTAGGCACAGAGGGTGAGAAGTCAGCCCTTCCTTATCACAGGCCTCAAAGGCTTCCTGACTCTGAGGATCAGAGGTGTGAATGAAACCAGAAGAGAACTTACCGCCTGGAGTAACAGAGGGACCTTGGTGTTGGGGAGCAGTTTTTGGTCATTTTCCAATAGGGTGTGAAGTGGAACTCCAAAGAGTCTTTTCTCTACAACAGAAACAACATGTTGTAAGTCTGTATCACCTCTAATCCAGGTGTAAGGGATACATCCCCCACTGCAGACTAAGATGGTACATTTTTAAGTGTAGATACTGGAGAAAAAGAGAGGAATAGTTAAACAGGACAAGTGCATTTGATAGTCAGACATAAATGTGGTGCTAGGTCTTGATGTCATGATCCAGTGACTTCCAGGAGAAATTCTGATAAAGGAAAACAGATCTGTCACAAGGTTTCTTATCAAAGTCCCGCTCTGTTCTAACATTTGAAACACAAACCTATGAGAAGGTCACTGTAAAAAATGGCACCAAAAAAAAAAAAAAAAAAGATGACATACAACTAACCTGTTGTTTTCAGTTTTGGTGCTTTGTTTCTCTTCAGCTCAAAGCCCAGAATATCACAGAGAGCTGTTAGTTCAATAAGGGCCAGTGTTGGGATCTTCTTCATGTCCTGAGCAGATAGATCTCCAATCCTGGTCACTCCTAGTCTACCCTTGGGGATCTTAAATTTCTAAGGGAAAACACACACACCCAAAAGGTTCAGTGCAAGTTATTACTACTAATCTCACTGATTATCAAGTTTTGCTGCATTTTTATCATTCCTTACCATAACCAGGCATCTATTCATTCTCCTGTTTTCAACACCAGACAAATGCCTAAAACTACTCCAACTTAACCCACAGCTGAATAAATATTTTCCCTTTTCAGTATTGCTCTTATATCATATTGCAGATCCCAATTTATCTAAATTAAAGACAGACTGACAGCCACCCTAATCTACTTGAACTTTAGAAGCAGTCCAGTACATTTGCGGAGAAGAAAACTGTTAGAATTACAAGTAAGAAAGTCCAGTTATTCTCCTCTTTTCAGTGGAAATGACCCAGATCTGTATCAAAATAGCTAGTTTCACACATAAGCCTTACTTCTTTTGACCCTCCACTACACAATGGTTATCCTTGCCCAACACTGCAAGGATAACAGCACTACCTGTCCAAAAATACCTACCTAATATAGACCCATTGCAACACCATCCATAGAGGACATTTCCAAGAGCTGGCCATACAATTGAATCCAGTGCCTTGTAACCCTCTCAACAAGAAAAGACTAGTAAGTTCTAACAGGAAAAATTCCTTCAGTGCTTACAGTTAGGGCATTTCCATCCTTTAACTTCCTAGATTCAGACAGGAACGATCCCTTGAGCAGGACAGCCGCTTGCTCTGAGTAGGCAACATCCATGTTGAACACCTCCTCTTTTCCAGGGTTTCGAACTGGGCAGGAGTAATCCTGGGTTTCTGCTACAGAGGAGAAATGGTCTTGAATTTCAGAAAACCAGAAGGGTGAATCTTAGAAAACAAGTGTGCTAAAAAAGCAGTTTGAGACAGATTTGCGTAGCATTGCTTTTAAAAAATCCTACATTAACATTTGAAAACAGTGTTCTCGTAGCACAGTCCTGAGACTGATCAATAGGGTAAGATTAGCTTACAGTAATAACATTACAGCTACAATCACTAGAACACTGGTAAGACATGATCATGGCCTTAAATTAAAGGACATACCTATGGCTAACTTCTCTTTACACAATTGCATATGGTGCATAAGATTTCACCATATGATCTTTGCTAGACTGATTTTACTTCCATCTTCTAGTTGCTTTCTCAAAGAGTTACAGTTATCAGTTTGAGTGGCAATTCATAACAACACTAGAGCCTGGAAAAGTTTACTGAATCCACAACTGTGGATAACCATGTATTTAAAAAAAACAAAACAAAAGAAACCCAAAAAACCCCCACAACCAAGGCCAATGTTTCAGACCCCAGATTAGTATAACTTCCCTTCCAGTTTCAGCCCTACTTCTGATCCTACTGCCTGTTCAGTCTGACTCTACATTTTAAAACTTCCTTCTTACTTCTCTGTACATTTGAAGTCCGTAGATTGTGCCACAACTGATCTGGGCTGGACTCCTTTTTCTCTGCTGCTGACTCCTGAAAAATAAACCAGAACATGCTTACCTAGACAAAACAGAAGTTATTATAAGACAACCTGATTTTGATAGAAAACACACACCTGACATTGTCTGTTAGTCTAAGAAAATGCTGCTCAAGCTCAGGGCTACAAGACTGTTCTGAAATTAAGAATTATAATTAGAGGATTTGGCAGACAGGTGGAAAATGGATGACTATCTCATAGACAGTATTCGTCACAAATTTGCACATCATTAAGCCAATTCTTCCTTTCATGCAATCATTAGCCAATTTCCCCCTTTTAGTTCATGCATTGAGGGGCTAACAAACAGTGGACCAACCAAGCTGCATGGGGTCTACCCATTGCCTGTGATCACAAGATCTTTCAGGAGAAAGAACATACTAAGTAGACATCAGCACCTAAAAGCTTCCCTTCATGGGCTTCATAGTAAGCTACCTCTTCATGTCCAGAGAATTGAATCTTTAAAAGTATAAGGAGGCATTTGGCAGGCAATTCTGTTAATAAAAACCTTACTTTTGCTAGTACTAGTTAGAATGTAGGAAAGCTTATTCTATTATCAAAAGTTAGCAACTTTCCAAGAATCTGCTTATGACATGGAGTTGTGGACTGAGGACTGACAGTTAAAAGAAACCTGTGCAAAGTCACCACAAACAGAAGAAAACCAGTTAGTTTGCACAGATGATGTACTATATCTTTGGAGTAGGTGCACAACTGGTGAGCTGCCATGAAAGCAGAACCAAGTCATTTAGCATCTGGCTTAATCACACATCATACACTAATGCCAGATCCAGCTATCATGTAAACAGGCCGTATTGAAGAGTAATACAGGGGAACTACGTAGAAAGGTTCTGATAGAAATGCCAGCAGCTTTGATGCCTGAGAGTAGCTTATGACAGAGGTGGACAGGAGGCAAATGGCAAATCCATCTTGAAACACTGATGGAAATACAAATCCAAATTACTCTGACACATCACTGCCTGCACTCTTACAGCCTGAGCTGCTTCCACTCTAGCCACAGCTGAACTGAATCAGCTTTAAGCTCAATTTGCTGAACATAGTTTCTTCAACAGGTAGAGCCCATTCAAACATTCTGCTCCCAGCGTACTGAGAGAGCAGTCAGTAGTGGGGAGCATCCAAAATCTGACTAAGCAGTAAAGGCACAGATACTGGATCTGGGGTCCAAATCAGGAATTTCTGAGACTGTGGGAAAAAAAACTTTACTTTTTTGCACTTTTGTTTCCTCACTTAGAAAGTGAAGATTTCAAATATCCTTCTGTGCAATAAAGAATTTATCATGTTTTGCTACATACCTCGAGCAAGTATTATAGCAACACCAGGCCTGTTTTGGCCTATGGTTCCTGAATACGTCCTTCAGAGCCCCAAAATTGTGCCTGGAACTGGGACAACAGTTTTTCTAACCAATATGGAAAATTATCCAAAAGCCTGCTTCCCTCTGGGATTGCTCCAGGAATCACTCAAAGGTAAAGGACTTCTTCTGCTCAGCTCCTACATCCTGTATCACACCCTGAAGTCTCGAAGTTCATCATTTTACATAGAAATCTCTCTCAATTTGCCTAAGCTGAGCATCTGTCCCTTCCCATGAAATACAGAGGGCAAACACCAGCCCTTGTGTACACTGTAAAAGACAAGCAAGGAATACAGAGGTTAAGCTGATGGCCACTCAGCAAAGAAGGAACAAACAGTCAAATGGGCTAATTTAAAATACATTTTCTTACTTTCATTAAAACGGGAGGGGAAAAAACCAGCACTGTTTTCTGCTTCAGTGACCTCTGCTGTAGATCTCAGAGGCAACTGCAAAGCTTTAAAAAAATGAAGCCAAAGAAAATATGAATAATTCCAGCAGCATAGTTGGAAAAGAGTCCAGTGATCTTGCCCAAAGTAAGAAGTGAGAAAATGTTTCACTTCTAATTAAATTAAGGCATTTTAAACAGGCAGTTTTAGCATCTTTGTACATGTCTTCATGATATCAAAACATCGCTTTAAAGCATCAGGTTTGATCTCAGCTGCTTATCAAATGCAAATTATCAAATACAAATATTAGCAACCTAGTGAGTGGACACTTAAGATTAAGAGCTCAAAAAATCTCTATTCCTATACAATAGAAAGTAAAATTATTTTAAGAGATTCAACAGGCTTCTATTTAATCTGCAAGTTTTAAAACTTGCCTAATTTCAATTGAGGCACTTAAGACAACCTTGAAGCACAAGTGCTTCCAGAAATATCATCTTTTTGTTACCCATTCAAGAAGGAATGCAAGTAACGCTCTGCAAAAGAGAATCAGCTGTGACACTGTCTCAGTGCAATTCACAGTAAAGCAGCAATCTGCACCTCAACACCGGGCAGTTACATCCAACACAACCACAGCAGTTTCCAGTGATGCTGCAGACTGCTACCGTCATTCCCTTAAGGCATTCAAGGGATTATTTGTGTATAATTAATCTCAGTGTAGTAAAAGTAGTTTCAAAGAGGCTCAGGCTGAGGAAAAGGAGTAATCAGTTCTGGTAAAGAGCAAGGGTCCCACGCTACTGAAAAAGGTAGATCTTGTTCAAGCTCACTATATTCTGACTAGACACTTGACCAAGTAGAAAAAGTCACAAGGAGCCGTGATTGGGATACTTTCCAGCAGGCCCTAGGAAAAATAACGATACTGTACCTTGTGGCCACAACCAGAAGAGGAGCAGCACAGCAGGAAAGCAGCTGAAAAGCTAATGGTTATGTATTCTCTACAAAAAAAAAAAAGAGGACAGTGGCCAGCCTTTCTCCAGGCTTACCAGCTGTACAAGGTCACCTTATCAGAACTGAACGTATGAAGTTCTCTTTTTTTTGGTTATCAATGATTTAACACGTCACTGGAATAAAGAAAACACAAGAGGGCTCCAAACAGTACCAGTGCTCAACAAGGCTGCAGGGCTGCAGGCACTATACACAGGTCTGCCAGCAGTCTCTAGGATGCTTATGGATCTGCAGGTTTTCTAGCAACTTCTCAGTGCTGCAACCTGGATGCAGAATTTCTACAACCTCAGCTTCATTTCAGCTCAAGAGATGAAGTCTTCTATTTGGAAATAAGAATAGCCCTAGACCCAGAAAGCCAAGTCAGCTACCACAACGCAACAAAGTCTTTCAGGAGACCCCACTGCACCAGCATACCTCTGAGCTGACCACTCCAAAAATGTCTCGGACATCACGCACAGGATGCTTGTTCTTCCTCCTCCGAGACCGGGAGTAGGTGTCCAGCCGCCGCTGCACAGCAGCGGCCTGGGTCTTGGTCAGGGTGGAGAGCAGCACGATGTTGTCATTTTCGGAGGCACGGTCCCCGAGGAGGTCAGACAGACCCGCGTCCTGGAGCCACTCAGCTTCAGCTTCTCCCTCTGCCAGGCAAGGGAGGAGAAGGGCGAGTGAGAAGAGAAAGGGCAACAGCAGTCAGAGTGTTTGATACTCTTCAGAGAGAGGAAACCAGAAGCCCGAGCCATTCCCTTTCTGGGGTGGCAATGGGACATCACTGGAAGGGAGCCACATGTCTGTTAGGAAGCCACAGCTGTTCTCAAAATCTTAGCCCTACTCCCAGGTACCCAGCTGGGTATCAGGGTGAAACCAGAGGAGAGACAGCACTTTAGGCAACTATAACTGCTCGCATACTCCTTTCTCCTCATCTTAGGGGAGGAAAAGCGAAGAAAAAAACATGGAGGCATGGCTATTGCCAGGAACCTAGGGCCCCTCAGAAGCTGGGCACAAGTGTGACTCTGCATGGTATTTAGCACAAGGATTACAATAGGAACTGAACCCAGTGGGGGCTTTCATAGGACACAGGAGGAAAGTCAGATGCACTTGCTTAAATGTGCCTGTATATGGACTTGCTTGTGCAAAGGGGAGCTCTGGCAGCTTTGAGAATGGACAAAGGGTCTGTCAGAAGCCACAATATACAATGCTGCACATTTGACTTTTGTACTCTTACCGTTTTTTGGCTATTTCTTTTAATTTTTATTTATCCATATGCATGCCTATGTATGAACAAGTCTTTTTTTTTTTTTTTTTTAAATATCCAGACACTGACCTGGTAGATTCAAACATATTTGTTTAATATACTTGCAGAACTATTTGTATGCACCATCCCTGTTCTTTACCTTTTTAAGTGGGTTGGTATCCATACAGTCATTCAACAAAAGCAAAATCATTATTCTTACTCTGTGCATTCACTTTATGTCTGTGCCTGTTCGAAACCACTAAAATTAAAGACCATTCCAGTTCCAGAATGAAGTGTGAGAAGCCTGGAGACGGTACAGCAGCATTACTCAAACAAGCTCAATTTCACTTCATTCTTCAGTACGTATAAAGTTACACTTCAAACACAGAAGACAATTTTTTCCTTACGGGATGCACCCTTTGAGGAAGTGAGAAAGTGCCCTGAGCAAGGCAGCTACTTGAAATCCAAAGATAAAAGAAGCAATTTAGCAGGTGGCTTCAACTTTAATACAGCAAACACCACAAAGCCTTTATCTTTTCAATTCTACATACCACAATCATTCACTGCAGGCAGCTCCAGCATAGCTCTACCAAAGGTTATACTGGGAAAAAGAAAAAATCACAACTGAACTGACTGAAACAGAACAGTTCATTCCTACTCTTCCTTCCCTATGCAAACTGGTATCTCCTCAGTTACCGCTGCTGCTCAAAGTTTTATTATTGCTGCATCAATAACAAAAAAGCCACGCAGCTCTTCTTGAGAGATTAAGTAATTTAATTTTTCTGGGGAAACTCCTGTTTTCATGCAACTTGCAAAAACATATTGTGACTCCATTAAAACTCTTTTCAGCCTTCAGAGCATGCTCTTTGTGTTCTTAGGTGCTGTAATGAAACAGAACTTTTTTCAGCATCACACTACAATAGAGTTGGACCTGAAGCGAAGTGTTTCTTTTAACGAATTTTCTAGCCAACTGGCTAGCTTTCCTACACGGTCTGAAGTTTTGGTCTGTTCCCGTGTTTGGTTCTACAGAAGCTAACAGGTAAGAGCATCCCCTCGGTACTGCTCACTTAGTTACAGCTGCTCATATGCTCGTGGTCCCGTTCGCTATTCCTCACTGTACAGCTATTTGTCCTACATTGTGGTTTCACAGCAGCACAGTTCACAAGACTTCTAGTTTATTTTGTCTTTGGGAACTAAAGGAAGTTAAGCGTATTGCTTGCAAATTTTGAAAATACCCAATTCCAGTCATAACAGGAAACTAATCTAATACACAATACTAAACAGCAGGCCCTAAATCGGACATCCGTGTGAGCCTACTGCCCCATCTGATGCCAAAGCACCAGATTTTAATTCCTCTATTTAGTATTTTTGGCCCAGTTATGTTTGCCAGCAACGCAAGAGGAAACCAGTAAAATAGGTTATTTATGGGGAGAAGGGGGAAATCGGAGAGAAACAGGTCAGAAGCGAGAGGTCCACAGAAGCTGAGCTGCAGGTTTAAGCCTGGAGAGCTGCTAAGATTTGTCTTGTGAGTTCCAGACAAGCAGCATTTCAGGGGGGTAAAATTGGGAATAAATCTGCAAAACTAGAGAACACCAATTGCAAAAACTTACTTGAAACATAAGCTAGCCAAGAATAGCATTCACAATAAAGCATTTACTTTTCAAAAAGTTAAAGGACAGCTACAGCATCCTACAATTTCAGACTAAACATTAAGCACAACTTCCTACATAGTTTTTGAAGGTGGAGAAGAATCACTCTTCGCAGACACTTCTCAGACATGATTACATGCTATAAGGATGCCAGCAGATACTTCAGTGGCACTACTGCACCGAGTGCGTACATTATCAGTCTGCCGTACTGTCAGACCTTGGAGAGAGCTGGATAAACAGCAGACAGCAAGGAAAGGACAATGCTGCTCGTATTTTAGGAAAAAGCTACTTTCTGCCCCTTTCAACTGTTAGTGAGGCCACAAGCATCATCAGCACCTTTCTGCTGACCCAGTTCTTCCACAAAGTTACACGCTGGCCTCCCACTAACACCAGGTCACAAGCGGCTTCCCATTACGCCACCATTACACAGGGCTCGCGCAGGAGACCAGTGTTCTCCAACTGGGTCAGCATTTTTGCAACGCCTTATCTACACGTAGCCTCCACGCTGTCCCTGTACTGTGATTACGATCAGCTATTTGTCAGGTTGAGCCACACTGTCCACACAGAGCTGTTAGCGGCTGCCCAGGCGAAAATTCTCAGGCTTTACGCAAAGAGTGATGGTGCCTTTGGCTCCATTGCCACCTCCGGGTGCTCCAACCATAAATTGCAAAGGGCATGAAAGCCAAGAGGCACTAGTCAAATCTTACATCCACACCATCCGAAGCTTCCCCTCGCCACTAATGCTTCCAGCACGATGCTTATTTGACTAAGCTCCTTTGCAGGAGGCACCTGGGGGCTGAGCGTGCTGCACCTCCTTCCTCAGCCTGCCAGGAAGGCTTCGCTACTCGGAGCATTATTTCAAGTCTGTCTGGTTTCAATGGCCAATTAAGCAGTCAGCTCTTGCCTGCTAGATTAATATACAGCATTAAAAGACACTTTTCCTTGTGTCCCCACTTACACACAGTAATCAAATTGCCTCTAGCATATCATTCTTTTGGATATCCCAGACAGCCTTTCATCTCATGGCATGGCCTCTTTTCCAGAGTCTCCTTCCTGGCGCACTCATTTTCTGAGTCACTCTTGCATCTCTTCCAGTTCTAAAAACCAAACTTACATCCTTTATGTAGGGACACTAAAATCAGACCTTACTGTTTACTGTGTCTTGCCTACTATGGCAGATACGGATGATGATCTTTCCACTCCACTCTCCAGAGCCTCTCCATGCACCCAGGAGAGCTATTTACCCTTCCCAAGCACGGCGGCACACTGGGACTTTCACTCAAACATTTCCCCACTACACACATGGATCCTTCTCAATATCAGGCTGGCACAACAGCTGCAGGCTGTACAGGCTGCAAACCCCACCATTCAAGAGGATGTACAGCCAGCTAAATCACATTCTTCAAAACGGACCCAGGAAACGTATGATCCCAATCTGCAGGATCGCTGGCTGCTTATCACAGTTTATCATCCCTCCAACAGCCCAGGATATTGTACCTCCCACGCCAAAAGGCTATCGGTCCAAGTTCCAGTTATTCCAAAATACTGGATAACATCAGTGCTACAGAAATCCCACTAGAAACACCCCATGCACATGAAGCGGTCTTCAAAAGAAAGAAAGGGGGAGGAAAAAAAAGGAGGTATATAAGAAAAACCTTGTGTGGATGGACTCAAGTCATTCTGGATGTTTATTATGGTTTCTTGAATAGTGAATCAGAGGGAGAAAAGCCTGCCTTCCACAAAAGCAGCTCTCATAAAAGCCACTGTGATGAACTCAGAACCACATACACAAACAAGCCTTCCAAAACACCATCAGCTATCACAGCGTGTTTACCGTACAGCCACCTGCACGGGGAGTGAGAGCCCCCACACTTAGTGGGGGGCTGTCTGAAAAAATCTGGAGCCTTGAATGTACTCCTGACTGACCTTTAGAGTCAGCTTTGTTTCAGAAGCTGAAACCAGGCCAGGCCAGCACTCCACTTCTGCAGGGTATTATCCATCACCCAATGAAAAAAAAAAAAAAAAAAAAAATGTATCTTTGATTTGACCAGTAATATTCTAACCGTATTGCAACATGCTTCTAAATCATTCAGGTTCATAAGCAAATTTTCTAAGACATTCATCTTCCTCCCCTTGCTCCCAACATTTTTGGCAACCTACCCTCTTGTGTTTTGACATCTGCAAGGCTGCATTCCTCTTGTTCGGCTTCAGCGCTCTGTTTAATGTTCTCTACTTCCAGCCAAAAACTGTCCATTGACAAGTTGTCCAAAGACTCTAGCCTGGAATTCGTGCCCTCTGACACCGGAGATGCCAAAGGACTCTTCAGAGGAAGCTTGCTCATTTTGCAAGGGCAATTTCTGGTACTGGGAGAGGAAGAGATAAGGAGAGAGAGATTAAACTACACATTCAAATATGGCATGCACAATACATCGGTCTTCATTGATTAATGACTGCAGTAAAAGCCAAACAGAGGTTAAGTGCTAGACTTCCTTTGGCTCGTGTTTAGCAATAACAGACAAGGTTGGGATCAAACCCCCCGGAGTAGGGGAAAACCTGCTGTCCAAACATGTGAGAGGACACAGTGTGACACAGGTTTTCTGACGCTGTCCTTCCAGTGACCTCTGAGACACCACCTACCACTCCTGCCCTTGCTTCCAAGACTCCCCTGAAAACTTGCACAGATACCCTCGACATTCACAGACGACCAAGATGTTTCAAACGTGGTGCACGTGTGCTCTGATTATCCAGCGTGCACAGCAAGTCCGACGACTCCCAGCCACAGCAGACTGAACCCAGTAGGTTGTCCTCCATATGCAAAAACTGGCACAGCTCTGTCTCCTGCACTTCAGCTCATGCAATAAACAACTCGGATGTCTGAGGCCCTCTTTTCCTGCCTAGACCAGGTTTTTCCTCTGTGAAACAGCACAAGTGTCCTGGGAAACCCAAACATACAGAATTTTCTTACCACCCTGTTGATTAATTCATGGGTGGCCAAAGTCCCAGACTGGCCTCGTTCAGCTTTCAACCTCTCTGCAGAAAGTGGTGAGGTTCTCATCAGTTCATAAAATAATACCTCACCTAAAATGAATTTTAATTCACTTCAAAGAGTTGCAAGCTGTTTAAACCCTGCTGTATATGTCTTTCAAAGACTTAAAAAAAAGGGATAAGTGGAACCTACTTGTGAAAACACCTCAGTGGTTCAACTTGGGAATACAAAATTAAAGAGACTGCACACTATGCTAACTCTGGAGGGTTTGAAACACACCTGTGAACAGCCACCACCACCAAAACCAGATCGCAATTGCTTTCTAGTCTCACAACAAGAAAAACGCAGATCAAGTCTGTGCCTTGAAAACCATGACAACAAAACAACCACCAAATGCGATTTAGCCTCCCAGCTCCGGAAGGACTTAGAAAGTTATAGATGGCAAAATATCTGGAAAGTTTTAGTTCCTTTCATTCCAGAAAGCCATTATTAGCAGTTCTGGCATTAACTTGCTTCTGTTGTAAGAAACATTTCAAGTCATAAATTTGAAGATCTACCAACCAAGAGCCCTATGTTGTAGGATATTCTGCACTTCTATTTACACATGTGCATGCATATTATGCTCATACCTTTTTCTAACATGCACATAGGCAGCCCTTCTTCTCTAAAGGTCAGAACTCAAGCAACAACCATCATTCTGGGAACATCTGGAGCCAGCGACAGCACTGAGAACAAGAATAAGAAGGTTTTTGTTTGTTTGTTTTACAGGAACACAGAAGTGAAAGATTGAAAAGAGCTATTACGCCACCCAGCCCACCTCTGACAAAGGCAGAGGTGATCAGCTTGTTTAGTACCCATCCCTGCCTTTCCCACTCCCCTTTCCTACTCCTGGATACCCAAATAGCAGGCCTCCAGTTGAGATGCCACTTTATAGTCTCATAGAGTACTTAAATAGTCAATCTAAGATTAAAAAAAAAGTATTTTTTTTACCTTCATAGTTCACGCCCATCTCTCTCAGTTCTACTACAGCTACCATCCCAAATCATTATTTCCCCTTTCAACTTTTTATTTGTATCTTTACCCATTAGCAGTTAAAAATTTAGATCACATCCCTCACATTAACTCTTCATCTTAGTACTCCTCTCCGTTTTCTCACATTTGCTGACAGCCATCTTGTAAGAGGATGAGATTTAAACAAAGCCACCTTGCTAACATCAAAAAGACTGTTTAATACCTTACCGTGATATCTCGCTAGAATTCTATTACAAGCCAGTTAATAGAAATCATCACTTGCAACATGAAGGTAACTAGAAGGAGGATTTTAGATTATCTTGAGTGACTTGGGTTTGGCGGTATGAGTGCCAGAAATACTGGCAGCCGAACTTGCACTAAAGAGCAGTTCTCCCAATGCACAACTCTACACAGGCTGAGGAACCATCTCACAGGCTCCCCTAATGGCTCTGCTGAAGGCACTCAGCAGGCACACAACCACTCTTCTTGCCCTAAGTTACTGCCCCATACTACCATAGGATCTAGGTTATACAGATCAAAGCAGTTAGAGCCAGCTCATCTAACATTCCAGAAATCTCCATGGATTCACAACAAAACAGAATTTAGGTTTGCAGATCCAGCAGAACCTACCCTAGACCCAAGCAGCAGCTTGCACCCAGTACATATGCTCTGGGGCCAGCCTGTGTCACATATGACAGTCCCTTCTCCACACCTGCCACAGGAAAACCCACAAAATTTTAAGCCAGTGTAAATACAGTCTTCAGCTCTTTCAAAAGGGTGACTCTTGACTTGGATGTTCTGCATGGCATACCCAGATTCCAGATCCTGAATGCAAGTTTTAGTCTGGGAGATACTACGACCAAGTGGAGTAATACTCATCTACGGCATTAGGACATATTCCTGGTGCGCATCTGAGAAGTGTCACAACATCCTTACAGTCCAGGTTTCAGGCTATAGCCTTGCCAGCAGCTGGTTTTGGTCTACCGGCACCTTCAGTCCATATCAAAACAACAAAATTCTGGTGCAAGGATACAGTTTTGCCAGACAACAGCGAACTGCTGTACCCCTATCCCACTCTGACTCATGCTTCTATATCACCCGCAGTTATTTTGCTTCCTTCCACAGCTGGAAATACAGATGACCTAGTAGTGCTTGCACCAAAAAGCACCACCACCAGTCACACTATATGCCTACTCTAGGAGAGCCGTATTTGAACAACGTGTGTGTCAAACAGCCCGAAAGCCATCCTAACTTTTTATCTCAACAACCCTATGGACTGATGCACTAAACTCTGTTTCACCAAGGTTCAGGATGCCAATGTCACATAGCAGCTCTACACAGCAGCAGCAGGATCCAAGGCCCAGCTCTAGAAGTCCTAAGCTAGCGCTGCTGTTCCTGTCTCACAGGATAACACCAAAGCAGAGTCAGGCCTGTAAATTTAGAAAATGCTTTATTTTCTGGTCTAAATATTTCTTTTCTTGAACATAGTGCACAGTGCTTTACAAATCCAACTACCCAGGTGGAAGGTTAATTTTAGATTCAGTGCACCTAAAAGATTGTTCTTCCTCATTGCATTCCCAAGTCAATGGAGGGCAACCTGTGACGTACATATAAACATAGCAACAGTTTAGATTGAAAGTGTAGATTCTTGGCTTGAAATGTTAATTGCTCAGTTGCAACTGGGCAAAGAGTAGGCGGAATAATCAAGTTCACTCGGTTGCACTACTAACCTATCAAAAAGCTTAAGATTATAAAGTTTTAAAAATTAACCCAACAAAAAGCAAACTGGCAGAAAGCTCTAGTTCAGGACAACCTGGCTCTGTGGAAAGACTGACCATCCTCATGCAACTTTCTCCTCTTGTTAAGAGCAGAGCCAGTTTTAATGGGGCTTGAGATTCATTCAGCTGACTTGCCTAACACCTTCAGTCTAACCCTGACTTAACAGTATTAATAACACAGAAATTAGACTGGCACGGACCTTATACAGTTCATTTTCTTATTATTTCTTCTACAAACCCCTTCCGTGTAGCACTGGTAGCCCTTAGCAAGATCTGTGTGCCTGCCTAGTGCTGACCCTGAGTGATGGTGGCTCACCGATCCTGGGCTAGAATATGCAGTCTCAGAGTAGTTTTTGATCTGTTCCTAGATAATGTCAACACACGGCAAATATATTGCAAACACTCATGCAACTCTTGGCCCTCTTGAATATCAAAATAAAATAAACACCGTTGCTATGCATTTGTTCATTCCAGGCTTGAATCATTCCCATCAGAGAGCGTCTCAAAGGATCTGTAGCTGCCTAGACTACTTCACTGCTTGCTCAACGTCCTTCCCTCATTGAAATACCTCTCTAGCAGATGAATAAAGAAGTTCCTTCTCAAACATTTCAAACAGAACAGGAGGTGACAAGTGTAAGCCAAGAAAATGGAATTCCTTTAATACTGTTTCCAGAAAAAATAAGATGAGAAAAAGGCAACAAGAACAGAAGAATTAAGTTATACGAGGCAGTTTGTCCACACAACAAGCACATAGCTTTTAAAGACATTTCTGGAGCAAGCACAAAGGCACATATGAAACAAAGAAACAGATGGAAGGAGTCTGAATTAACCTCAAGGGCAAGTTAGGAGCAGCACACCAAGTCACAGCATCATAGCAATTCAGACCACTAGCATGAAACACAAGTTCTCTTGAAAGAAAAAAAGAAAAGTGAGAAATTATTCTATCAACTGCTTGCAGTATTTTGACAGATAAAGACACTAAGTTAGAGAACAAAAATACGTTAGCATCACAGCACACATACATCTTACCAGTGTTCAATTTACTTCAAGGTCAAGAACAACTGATGGCTACAAAAGCACAAGATTAAAAGAAACAAACAGAGAAAAAAAAAAAAAGTCCATGCAGGAAAAAGTCCCTCTTCATGTTGCTTCTAAGTTCCTACCATAAGCAAGCAGTTTAGACCCAAATGAAGAACTGCACAGTTAATTCTGAAGAGAAAGAACCACCTTAAGATCAGCCCACCACAGTAAATACCATAATAGGTTTTCTTGTTTAAAATCATGTAGTAGGAAAAAGGCATCCAGAAACAACAGATAGGAGTATTTGAAAAACTGGAGAAAATCCTGAAGCAGTAAGTCACATACCTATAGCTATACCTATACCTATGTAAAATATGTATATATTTTGCTTACTGAAAGTATTGGAAGTTTAAACCTCAATGTTTCAAAGATATCAATGCTAATATAAGAACAGGTCCCTGTATGGAAGAAGGCAATCTACTTATTATCAAAATCGTAGATGAAATGTGCATAATCAGCTATTTCATTCTGACACGCAGAATTACA